AGAATAAGGAGACATAAAAGGAAGATATTTAATGGCCCCGGGCTTCAGGGCTTCTCAGTTTGGAATTTGTTTCCTTCTGTGGCTTGACCTCGCCTTCCCCTTGATGCTGGTGGCTTCCCGTATGTGCCGAGGGGAGCTGGCAGGTCTGGTTTCACCTGGTTCAGATTCCCTAGTGGAAAAAAGAGCTTCCTGCTAATGTCTACGCATCAGCTCTGGAGATGGGCTCTGATAGGTCTTGCCTGGATCATCTGTCCCCCTCTTAGTGTGCGGGGTTATATAAGTGACAGTCCCACTATGTGGAAGCCATGGAGATGTCCTACTCAGGTCCCTCTTCTCTAGAACCTGCTGTGGGGAGCGCGGCTGATTGACTTGCCTCTAGTTGTCCCACCTTTGGATCACATCAGGCTACACTGTCACGGGGCTGCTCCCAGCCGATGACCAAGCACAGTGGGAGTACTCAGACCAGCCCATTTCTCCTCTTATGGGCTGTAATGAGTTCAGCGACTCCTCCCGCCTCTCCCCACATTGGCCTCAGAACCGCGCTGTGGTCTCAGGTCCTTCTAACCAAGGCTTCCTTCCCTTCCTCCTCTGATAGGTGTCAAACCTGCATCATGGGCTAAACGAATGTTCTCTGTGTCTGTTTCTCCTCACTCCTTCTTCACACCTCACAGGTGTTTCCTCCAACAAATCTCTTGCTTTCTCATCCCAACTTGGTATCTACTTCTGGGAGGATCTGAACTGATTCAGACTAGAACCACAAGGAATGGGGATGAGATCATGCACCCAAGGAAGAGACGTCAGGTGTTCAAGAGAAAACCCATGCTCACCACAGGCTACATCTTTGGGCGTCTGGCAAGTATGGGTAACACCACGGACAGGGTGCAGAGCAAGTGCCAGGGTCCAGAGCAGCAAGTCACGTCTCAAACCCTCAGGTGTCTTCTAGAGGAGGACTGACATCCTCTATCAGTGACGCCCCTAAGGATCAAGACAAAGGGATCAGGTCTTGGCCTGTTGAAGAATTTATCAAAAGGAATGAATCTGGATGCTCAATCAGAGTTGTCACGTGTGTTACTCTGAACGTTCTGCAAACATCAGCCATTGATTCCCTGGCCTTACTGACATTCCACTACCCATCTGATGTTGCCAGAGCCCATTCTGCTTATCGTTTTAATTGGAAAGAACAACAGAGAAGCACAACCTCTGTTTACTCATGGTTTGGAATCGGCAGATCTAATATTTTGTTATATATGCTTCATATTTGGTTTTTTGGTTGTTGTATAGTGGCTCTGTTTATAAGAGGAACTTTATCGGGACCAAGAAATGCGGGGTTGTTGGTGGAGAGTTAATAGAATTCTTCCACTGCTTAGCTTCACGATCTCCACCCTGTAATGCCATTGATTTTTCTTGGAGATAATCCATTTGGCATTCATTATTGTCTTTCACTATTTCTTTCTGTTGTTTAAGAGCCTCTTATTAATGTG